GTTATCATGCACAATGACATATACATGTAGTGTGTGTGTGAGTTAGTTGTATTTTAGTCCGCTTCCACCGAGGTGATATCGCAGAAAACCATGTAGTAGCAAACTTGAGGTCAATATGAAATTCATAGTGAAACCATTTACATAGATTAAAAAACAGTAACAAAAATTATCAAAAGGGTAAAGAATTTTTAACAAAAAAACAACCACAAGTATACATGTACGGTATATAAAAGATAAATTTTGTGGGTTTGTTCACTGCAGAAACTTTTAAATTATATTTATTACAAGTTATTTAAACATGCATTATGCAAGAGCTAAATCTGTCTATTGCAGGTCTTTCTTTAGGCCTGAAATGTTATCTAAATTATTAATTAGACATTAATTAACCTATCCAGACCATTATCAACTCTAGATGGCATCACTAGCCTGCGATATTTAGTGGATTATGAGCCGATTTACTGCATAACTTTCCTTCACAATTTAATGATTAAATGAATAATCGAGACTATGCCGTTTATCGTACTGACTTTAGTAATGATGATCAAGGCTAGTTGGAAATTTCAACCGCTTAGTTCTCGGTTCATAGTGGATCAATTTGAATGAAATTGTCAGCAAATTGCCTTTATACATTATCTAGTTTTTAACTATTATAGTGAGAACTGCCAACTCGTTATCAAATCTCCCATAATGTATCTTTAATGGTACAACACATATTTATTACAAGTAATATAATGGTACAACATGTATTTATTAAGTATTTGGTGCAGCATTTATTGACGAAATTTAGTTAAAGATACATTATGGAAGTTTAGATAAAGAGCTGGCAGTTCTCACTAAAAAACTAGATAATGTAAATGGAATATGTTGAAAATTTCAACCTTCTTTTAAAATCTCTGTAGCCTCAATTGTCATTGTTAGCACTGTCACGATATAAGAAACAAAGTTTCTATTATCCATTTTTGCGTTTAATCATCAACAGACGTTGAACAGCAGATCGGATTCAAATCCATTGAAAATTGGACAGATAATGGTCGAGAATTGATTATGGTCTTTTCAAGTTAATTAATGTCTAATTAATAGTTTAGATAATATTTCAGGCCTAAAGAACGACCTGCAATAGGCAGATTTACCTCTTGCATAATGTATGTTTAATACATGTGTTAGAAAAATGGCGATTTTTTAAAACCATAAGCTAGTAATTGCCAAAAATCATAAAGAAATTGACCATTTATTACCATATTAGAGATTTTAGCATGTAATTGCTAAAACTGAGAATACAAAAACATCAACATCAACTAAGCCTAAAGGAATTTTGTCTAAATGGCTAGACATATATTTTGTACATCATGTTGTTAATACGATATCATGATTTTTAACTGCTCTCTTAAACAATTTCACAAAACTAAGATACAATATTTTGACTCTGCAGGGTGAAAAGTTATTTCAGTATAACATTCACGTTATTCTGTGCCTTATGTATGGTACATATAGGATTTATACCTTGCCATTCCAAATAATATGACACTAAGAGGCATATCTGTGTAGGATAAAGCAAGATACGGAGGTTATGTTGGGGAAAGAAAGACTGAAGAAAATAACCTGAGGGCTTTTTCTTCAGTCTTTCTTCCCCAGCATAACCGAAATCGAGGATTTTATCTTGCTTATAAACTGTCTATGTTTACATGTATGTAAAATGAGAATATCCCAAAATTCCTATAAGAAAAACCTTAGATCATGTTTTCTTATGGAAAAAAACCTACCCTGGAAGAATAATCTTTTACAGGTTTAAAGAAAAATTTTCAGAAGAATATCCCCAAATTCCCCTGTATATACCCAAAGCTGCCCCCCGACTTTCAGACCTCAAGTTATTCCGGGCATAGAATATAACCCAAAGATCAAAGAGATTTACAGTTATAGGTTTATAAATAGAAATAATTCTACACTGAATACATGTATATGAAAGGTGGTACAGTAGCCAATCTGATTAAAATACAAATCTATATTTCGTTTCGTTTTTTTTTATACTTTCGATGGCCTCTACTACATGAAGATGTAGTGAAATGTAGCGTCAGGGATCATACGAGCGACTTTTGAAGCTATGATGTCAGACATTTGATTAACCAATCAGCGTTGATGTTTCCAGTGGAATATCGACAGTTCAAAGAACTTGCCGCAACAAACCGTTTTATTGGCTAATCCCTCGCATCATCCAGAATGCCTGTTATATAACAACTCTTCGAGATCCTTGTGTAGTAAAGACAAGTAAAAGGAAATTTTGAAAAAGAAACGAAATAGGATCTGTGTTTTAACCAGATTGTAATTTTAATTATCCTGCACACAAGTTGGAATTTTTAGTGTTGAAGTGGGCAGTGGCTGACAAGTTCAAAGACTATCTCTATGGATACACCTTTACCATCTACACAGATAATAATCCACTTACTTACACAGGTTACTTAGTTAGGATCAGGGGGAAGAGGGAGGCCCGTGGTGGAAGGCTTCCCACCTTCCACCTGACCCTCCACAATCAAAAATCTCAAATTTACATGTTTCATAGAAACAGAATGTTAAGTGAAATTTTAATACTGTTATTTATAAGGGTGTGGGTGGGGAGGGGGTGTTTGGGGGTGGGAGAGGGTCGATATGCACAAGGGCCCACACATAGATCAGCCACTGGATAATAAATATTAATGGATCTATAATGGGGGGGGGGGGGTCGAACTAGGACCCACACAAAGATCCGTCACTGGATAATAAATATCAATGGATCTATAATGGGGGGGGGGGGGGTCGAACTAGGACCCACACAAAGATCCGTCACTGGATAATAAATATTAATAGATCTATAATATTAAGAGAAGGGTGGGGAGGGGGAAGGGGAAGAGGGTCGATATGCACTAGGGCCCACAAATAGATCAGCAACTGGATAATAAATGACGAGTCCAGGGGAAGAACGATCTAATCACATTTTTGTCTTTTCGCATAAAAGGCAAAACAGACTTTGGACGAGAATGCTTGACGCGAACAGAACAACGACTGGGTTTAATTACAACTTCAAAATGATGTTTAATACGAATCATAATTACCAGTACAACTGACTTCAACTTTTCAGGCAAATTAAGGTTAAATAAAGGGTATGATGGACGTATTTGTCCGGGAGGCCATTTCAGAAGGGCCTTGGTTCGATGTGACTCTGATCGTTTTTACCTGAAATTGATTGTTCCACAGAAAGCTTATACAATTTGCTACCAGATGGCGCCATTAACTGGGGTTAGTTGAAAAAGTGACTTAGATCATTCTTCCTCTGGGCTCTTCAAATATTAATAGATCTATAATATCAAGAGATATATCTCTATATATATTGGCAGTCTTGTCTGGTTTCAAAAATAACCTTTCCTTTCCTAAAGGTGAAACCAGAGCATTCATACCAGATATAAGTTCCCACATCTCACATCAGAACCAAATCCTTGCCAATATATATTCAATATATATCATAGTTCATGGGAGAATTTTATTGTAATAAACTACACCTTTATAACATATTTATCGCTTCTAGAAAAAAAAGGGGCATATGCATACACATCCTCACCAGTTATATTTAATCCCTCCGATTGGGTAAAGTGACCCCTCCACCCTCAACTTTATTCAGGTGATACATTGGAACTCCAATGAACACTTTGTGAACTGTTTAAAAAGGGTTAAATTCCAACAAGAATCTTCAAGATTAATATTTCAATCTATAATACCATGAATCTAACTAATACTATCAGAATTCACCTCCATACAAAACTTATGCTGTCTGTCTATAATAGGTCTGCTTAAGAGTAGACAAAGCTACATGTAGTTGACGGACATTTTAATTCCTAAATCAACAATTTTATTCAAACCCACAAAGTATACTTTGTGAATTTTGGTAAATATTTATTGGGTTTCCATTTAATAAAATAGAAGAGGTTTATGTAGTCTTTGTGTGTATGACAGATGTCAACTAACTGCATTAAAAAAATAGTATACATTATGTATACATAGTATGTATTAATGTTTTGATATGGTGGCCATTCAAGACAGAGTTCTATTCTGGTAGTAGATAGTTCTCTGTGTGCAAAAAACGAGGTCCCGTGTACGTAAAAGATCCCTTGACAGTTGGAATTCGATATAAGAGTAGGCCGAAGTGCCGCTGTCCGGGCAAAATTTCTCTCATAGCACAATGTATGGCTATGTCCATCCTCTTTAGCCCAGTTCGGAGCAGAACAGTAGGACGTTAAACCCTTTCATTTCTTTGTGTGCATAATGTATTAATGTGCTCTGGAAAAAAAATGCTTTTAGATATCTGAGTCGGGGGATATTCGGACAATAATTGAGAAATTCGGTCACCCGAAACTACGAACACGACACACAACGCCCATGTCAATAAAAGATCAAAACAAAGTTCATCTGGGCATTATATTCTAACAAATTCAACATTTATATTTGCCCTGTTATAAAAATATCGACACATATGGTTCCACAAAGACGAGTGTTTTCTGTTGTAAAGATTAAAAAAAACCCACTCGAGTTAAAATGTCGAAGGTTACCAATGTCAAGCTCACCGGTAAAAAGTCTGTCAAAATAATATTTTGGGATTACAAAATTGTTTCTGAATATCAGTAGGGGTTCTATTGTTTGAAAGAATTTAAGACATTCCTGAAAATGGCACGCTATTGTGCGGGTAATTTAGATTTCTTGTAAATTAATTACGGCACGTGCATTATCAGGAACATATTTACGGGGCAAAAGTTTGACATTGACAGAACAAAATGGCGACCGAATTGTGAAGCTGACTCGACGATATTTACCGGTAGATCTATGGTATTAGTTTATTTTGGCACCGATCGAAAAAAAAAGTCTCCCGAAATGTTGGCAGAGCGTGAAGATAACTTTCATTAGGTACCCTAGAAGAATAGTGCAAGGGTGATGACGGGTTCTAAAAATAGACTTAAAGAGGTAGATATAATTCGACTTACCAAGGAGGCTTGTTCCACACGGTTAAAAGTTTATAAAAGACACTAAATTCTGACAGTCTTTTCAATCTCACCCTCTTTCACGCGCTAGAGGAGGGGTTAAAGTTCTCACGTGGCCAAAAGGATCGATTACATTGGTTGATTAAGCGTGCCAATCAAGGAATATACTTTAGAATAGTTTTACCGTTATTCATTCATAAGAACAGTTCCTGGCTTTATGTTGAGCGGGGATACATTTTGGAAATCTGGGTGAGAAGTTTCTAAATGATGGGCAAAGTTGAAAACTGTATGTTTAGTGATAATGCCGGCCTTCAAATATCACAGAATTATTTTTGATATTTGGTTTTACGGCCGGTGAGTGTGACCATAAGTGGGCCACGTGTCGGAGTGTTTTGGTCATAGCGCGCGCCACCGATGCTCTTATATGGTAAAGAGGTAATGGTGGATATCTGAGAAGCGCCTAGCAACGCACGCGCGTAATAGGTAACCTGTTTAGAGTTAACACGATTCTCAGCCAACCAGACATAAATCATGTATTCATTAAGGCAGAATGTCGAGTGATAGCGTTAGGCCTACTATTCAATAACAAATTACGTATCATTTTAAACGAACTATTAAGTAACATCGATAAATTTTATCCCGATTCATTAAAGAATGCGATAAATTGTTTGATCTATTAAACTGACATCTGGAAGCCATTATTCCTAAGTCTGCACAAGCACGTGGCCAGCTCGTTCAAGTCAGTATATAAATAAAATACGTAAGAAGCACGCGACAAGTGGAACAATCCCATGTTGTAAATTACGGAAGCAGCCGATACAGTCGACATCTTGAATTACAACTGCTCTAAGATATTTTACCAACTGGTTTAGATGTAACAGATGTTGAGTTATATTTATGATGGCGGAAATCGACACTCTAGATAACCTACCAGCTTCTAGGCTTCGACCCACCCATAGAATAAAATGAAGTGAAATGAAATGGGGTTTAATGGCCAACTCTTCTGCATCGAATGGGCAGTGTGCTATATGACGGTAATTCTGCCCGTACAGCGGCGCCACGGACTGCTCTTATTTCGAATTCCAACTGCCAAGGGTCTTTTACGTAATTTTTCGTTCCATCTGAACGGCTGTAGCACCCCTTCCTGCACCACTGAAAAGGGGGAACCAAGCCGAAAAATCCCGATGAACTTTCTCGGTCAGCACAGGGATCGAACTCGGGACCTCTTGGTTAGCGAGCAAACGTCTTACTCGGAGAATTTTGCTCGAACAGCTGCATTTTCTCATACGGTACTCTTCGGTTTCTAACCGTCAACTTTTTTATACCTTCCGAAGAACTAGACACTTCCTATGCCACTCCCCCCCACCACTCCCGCACTGAAAAGTGAGCCAGCACCTCACCCATACTGAGCGCCTGTAGCTCGCCAGGTCTAATGAAATGAAATGAAATGGGGTTTAACGTCCTACTGTTCTGCTCCTATGCTGGGCTAATGAAGACGGGCATACAGTGTGCCATGAGGGAAATTTTGCCCGGGTAGCGGCAATATCGCCTACTCTTATATCGATTTCCAACTGCCAAGGGATCTTTTACGTGCATCCCAATGTATACACGGGACCTCGGTTTTTCGTCTTATCCGAATGACTAAACAACTGTCCTTGTCAGGCCATCAGTCCTGCATCACTGACAAGGGGGAACCACGCCGGAAAATCTGGTGAACTTTCTCGGCTAATGCAGGGATCGAACGCCAGGTCTAATGATGGCCAACTGCGTTATTATGCTGTAAACAATAGCCTATTCTTTAGCCCAGTTCGGAGCAGAATAGTAGGACGTTAAACCCCATTTTATTTCATTTCATTTCATTTTCCAGCGTGGTTCACCCTTGTCGGTGTTGCAGGATAGAGGGTCTGGCAAGTGAAAGGGGCGAAAGAGAGAGGGAAGTGGGGTTTAACGTCTACTCGACACAAACTAGGTCATTTCGGGACTAGCATATGGTTCAATTTTATTTCAATAATTCACTTGCGCGTAGGGGTCTTTAGCAGTGGGAGGAAACCGGAGGACCCTGAGAAAACCCACGAGGTTGAACAGGCGACCCTACTCCTTGTCACGTACAACCGGGGAATCGAAACCACGCCAGCTGACTCAATGAAAGATCTTATGATACAACGCGCACGCGCTAACCATTCGGCCAACCCCCCCCCCCCCCGGTAAGGGACAACGTATAATCGTTTGGATAGAGCGTAAATCCGAGGTCCAGTGCAAAACGTAAAATAATCCTTGGCAGTTTTAAAGGATCTTAATTTATATTTATTTTTGAGGGTGGAAATCTACCGTACATTTATTTATAATTCTCATCTCTTAGAGTTCTGCATTTTTAATAGCAAAAGATAAAACGTCCCTCATAGTTACAAATGCACGTCATTCATTTTTTATTACATAAGGAAAAAAATTCTCTCATAGTTACAGAAAAACTGAGGTCCTCTGTATACATTGGAATGCACGTAAAAGATCCCTTGACAGTTGGAATTCGATATAATAGTAGACCGTAGTGCCGCTGTCCGGGCAAAATTTCCCTCATAGCACACTGTATGGCGTATGCCCGTCTTCATTAGCCCAGTATAGGAGCAGAACAGTAGGACGTTAAACCCCATTTTATTTCATTTCATTTCATTTTCCAGCGTGGTTCACCCTTGTCAGTGTTGAAGGATAGAGGGTCTGGCAAGGGAAAGGGCGAAAGAGAGAGGGAAGTGGGGTTTAACATCTACTCGACACAAACTAGGTCATTTCGGGACTAGCATATGGTTCAATTTTATTTCAATAATTCACTTGCGCGTAGGGGTCTTTAGCAGTTGGAGGAAACCGGAGGACCCTGAGAAAACCCACGAGGTTGAACAGGCGACCCTACTCCTTGTCACGTACAACCGGGGAATCGAAACCACGCCAGCTGACTCAATGAAAGATCTTATGATACAACGCGCACGCGCTAACCATTTGCCCCCCCCCCCCGGTAAGGGACAACGTATAGTCGTTTGGATAGAGCGTAAATCCGAGGTCCAGTGCAAAACGTAAAATAATCCTTGGCAGTTGGAATTCGATATAATAGTAGACCGTAGTGCCGCTGCCCGGGCAAAATTGCTCTCATAGCACACTGTATGGCGTATGTTAATCTTCATTCGCCCAGTCAGAGCAGATCAGTAGGACGTTAAACCCCATTCCAATTCATTTAATTTCGATTACATAAGAATTTGAATAACAAAATAATAAGCAAAGACACATACGTATGACTTTAATGAACCAAGATGATAAAAAGAAAAATAACAATAAAAAAAAAAATAAAAAAAATAACACAAATAAAGCTAATTCACGCGTCAATAATTTTAAATATATATAATCATACACTTGGTTATCCAGTAATTTACATATTTATATATTCTCAATCAATACTGTAACATTTAAAGATGTCTGGTTTGTACGAGACTAACCTATTTAAATACAAAAACATAAAATGGGGTTTAACTGCCAAACAACCAACCACGGAGAAATGCAGAATGAAATCGGACAAAAAATCGCCCGTAATGTACTTCATAATAAAGAATGAACATTTTCTACCATCGGATTACAGCGGTAGAAAAGAGAACTAAATTCGATTTAAAAGAAGCACCTGCTTTCAGAAAGTTATAATAAAAAACCTAAATAATTTTGAAATAATTTCAATTTCTCTTGACTGAACTTGGAACCGAATCCTATTCGGTCTGAATATTCGGGCAAGGCGGTCACATATATTTGGGCAGCCATAGCATTTCTATATTTATTCCAGTGAAAACTCAAACCAGTGTCTCCAAGACAGATATTCTAATCTATAGCTTAAAGAACCATCTCAATATCCATATCTTCTAAAAAAAACCCATGAAAGTCGCATTTTGGTGACAAGGAGAAAAAAAAAGTCCAGCCTGAATATTCGAGTAATGTCGAATGCAGCGATTGATTGTTACAGCAGTTAATATCCCCTATAATACTGATAAGGGTTTTGGTTGTATTCGAGGCATTAGGTTTAAAGGGTGCAATATGACATAAGGTTTATGGAGTAGGAACATGTACACAAAAATTACATGCAATACTTAAGGTTTATGGAGCAGGAAACGGGACACAGCAACCAAACAGGCATATTTAATTTGTTGGCGGCGTCTCTCAACAACGACGAATTCGTGGGCGTCCGAGGATGACTTGGATCACTTTGCTAAAGTATACATAAAGGACCATGCGACAACAATAGATGGACCTAAGTTACGTGACCCGTCTATCGCTCAATATGACCAGCATGTTGCATATCTGCAACATCACCAGGCACGAATATGACTGTTGGTGTGGCATAATGATCGGACTTATCCGTAATTTAATAGACAATTTGTATAAATCTTATCTTTTATAATGTGTTAAATATTTTTCTTGCATTTCTATGTCCACACTATGCTTCCATTTTTTGACGATTTTTTAAAATCCATATTAATTCATTTATTTGCTTTTAGGGTCAAAAGCTTGTCGAAGTCGAAGGGTGTTGTTATGGTGTATCTTTGTATATTGATATTTCACTAATCTTTATATTATTACTTAATTATAGTTAACACGCGTTCTTGCTATGTCCATATCATCTTCTGCATCTAAACATCCGGTTCCTATGTACAATTTAACATCTTTTCAAATATTATTATATATTTATTTTAATCCTAAGCTTGTATATATATTCTATATTCTACTGTAACTTTAGTCTGGTGATCGGCTCGCCCTAGCGATACCTATCTCGTTATTGTGACTGTTAGCCTGTTTTGGACACTTGTACAGTACAGTTTTAACTATTTTAACAGCACTTCGACTCAAAGACAAAACAGTGAAAGTATTAAAGATACATTATGTAAGATTTAGATAAAGACCTGGGGCCTGTTTCACGAAATTTTAACTAAGATAAAATCCAGATTTTAGTAATTTGATTGGATAATATTAGATTGATTTTAGTGCTTAGCCAATCAAAATAGAAGTATCTACTAAAATTTGGATTTTATCGTTAGTTAAAATTTCCTGAAACAGGGCCCAGGTCGTTCTTGCTATAATAGTTTAAAATAGATTAATGCAAAATGAATATGTTGAAAATTAGGCAGAAGTAATAAGAGTTTTAGGCGTTAGTTTATTAGATTAAATTGTAGGACCACAAAAAGTTTAACATCAAAGAATTAAATTAGTTAAATCTGACACAAAAGGGATACATAAATTAAAATTAGTTTCAAAGATTAATAAAAGAAAAGAAAACTTTATTTTAGACGAGTAAGCTTAATCAAACTGGAGTGTATTGTAATCAAATTATAAAAAAAGGACACACATTATTTTTATTGGTGTTTTAAAATTACACAAAAACACACATAATTATCTGTGTTTTAAAATTACACAAAAACACATAATTATTGGTGTTTTAAAATTACACAAAAAAACCCAAACACATAATTATCCGTGTCTTAAAATTACACAAAAACAGACATAATTATTGGTGTTTTAAAATTACACAAAAACACAATAAACTATATGTGTTTTAAAATTACACAAAAAGGCACACAAAGCTATCGGTGTCTTAAAACTACGCAAAAAGCCACACATAATTATTGGTGTCTTACAATTACACAACAAAACACACAAAGCTATCGGTGTTTTTAAACTACGCAAAAAACACACATAATTATTGGTGTCTTACAATTACACAAAAAAACACCCACAAAACTATGGATGTTTTAAAATTACAGATCATACACATGTAATTATTGGGTTTTTTAACTTGACACAAAATACATACACATAATTATAAGTGTCTTAAAATTACACAAAAAACACACATACTTATCGGTGCTTTAAAAGTAGACAAAAACACACTGAATTATCGGTGTTTTAAAATTACACAAAAAACACAAATCGAAAATTACAAAAAAAAACATGCACATAATTATTGGTGTTTTAAAATGACACAAAAACACATATAATTATATAATATAAAATTGCGGCACACGCAACTACACAGAGCACATTAAAACTGGATTGTTATCACAGATAACTCTGTAGTATCTTAAATGCATGACAAACCATGACAATTTCAAATATTCGAAATTATGTAACAGAAAGGGAAATTGTCCTATTTCTTCATGCTGATATATTGCGGTCCAGTTTATAGATGAAAAACTTTCAAACTACATTCGAATCAAGCTGACATAGTGCAGTCCAGATTAGAAATGAAAAGCTTTCAAACTACATAATGAGTTACCTCCCCCTTTTATTAACAAATCGGGAAATTTCGGATTTTCAAAAGAAAGCCAATTAACAAAATTATCGCGATCCAAGCAAATTATTTACAGTAATTATTCACATTAAAGATACATTATGGGAGATAAGATAAAGAGATGCCAGTTCTCGTTATAATAGTTAAAAACTAGATAGTGTAAAGGTAATTTGCTGAAAATGTCAGTCTAATTGATCCACTGTGAGCCGAGAACGAAGCGGGTGAAATTTTCGCATAGTCTCGGTCATCATTACTAAAATCATTAATATAAACAGCATAGTCTCGATTATCCACTGTTTTTATTTAATTATCAATGGCCGTTAAGCGGCATATAGGAATCTAATCCAGCCAACATCGAAGGCTAGCCTTGACATCGAGAGTTTATTATGGTCTGGAAAAGTTAATTAATGTCTAATTGATAATTTAGATAACATTTCAGGCCTAGAGAACGACTTGTAATAAGCAGATTTTGCTCTTGCATAATGTATGTTTAATATGATTAATACAATGACGTCATTATTAATAAATAAATACACAATTTTACATAGGAATATAATCGTTTAAAAAATAGTTGCGCCCCCTTCTTTCACACTGGATTTAGGGTGTTAACCAAACATGGAAATGTATCACAGAAAAAAGCTTTTTTAAATATAAAAGAAAGCTAAGAAAAATAAAACAAAGAATATTTCATAAAATCAAAGAAAATAAAAAATAAATTAAACAAGTTAACATGTAGGCATTTGGAATATTGGACCGACTTTAGGGTCCATTGGGAATCCTTTACGCATGCCTAAACAGTATTGGCTATCGATACGAATGGAATTTTCCTTGACGCCAATATCGTGATCTAAAGTGGCTTTAGTTTTTACAAGCCTGGCTAAACTCAGTTCACACGACTTGAGTTTCTCTTTCAATATTCTCACCGATTCCCGGATTTCATTCACCTCACGTGTCAAACTGAAATATAAAATACCAGTAAAACTATAGTCAATCTGAATAAAACACAGATCATATTTCGTTTCGTTTTTTATAGTTCAAAATTTCGTTTTACTTGTCTTTACTACACTAGGATCTGGAAGAGTTGTTATCATTGACGTGTTCTGGATGGTGTGAGGGATTAGCCAATGAAACGGTCTGTTACGGCGAGCTTTTGGCGTGAGGTGCACGGAACTGTGGGTAATCCACTAAAAACATCAATGCTGGTTGGTTAATCAAATGTCTGACATCATAGGTTCAATACCCGCTCGTATAACCCCTAACGCGACCTCCCAAAACAACGGGTCAGATCTTCATGTAGTGTAGGCCATCGAAAGTATAAAAAAACGAAACGAAATATAGATCTGTGTTTTAATCAGTTTGAACTATAGTAAAAGTCAGTTTGAAATATAATTATACAGACAGTATACTGAAAGCCGACCCTAAATATTTGCCATAATGCCGCGATTTCAAATTCACCCACCTAATGATTGTTGGAAACCCGAGGACTCCTGCATGGTTAGTGCTAAATGATAAGACCAGCTCAATTTTTCGTCATCACATTTCTGATCTCATTGTCACGCCAACAGAAAAGACCAACTTTCTGGGGTATACATGTATACCCATGCCCTAATGATGAAAGTTTTCAACCTTTTTACTAGTCTATTCATTTTTAAATGATAGATATGTAATTGTTCTCTGGTCGGTCGCGAATCGGCTCTCGAACTCTCATTATCAGCTATCAGTGCATGATTTTGTCTCTTTCATTATCATGTATTTTAAGGGCTTTATTTTGGAATTTGGAATGCTAGAGGCGCTCTAAACAGCGTTCTCGGAATTGACCGGGGGGGGGGGGAGACCCCTCCCCCCTCTTTTGGTACCCTGGCCCTTGCTCCGTTCCGGCGCCCCTGGCTGCGTGTCTAACAACTGAACGCTGGACCATTTCTAACAGAACGCCGTTAATATTTCTTGATTTTTTACCCCTTGTGCCTACGTTAAATTGTTATGACCCCCGTATTAAATGTCCAGTCCAAAGTGGAAATTGTCTGCGATATCACTTCGGTGAAAGGGGACGTTAAATAAAGCTATATCATACATACACAGTTGAGGCAACAAACTTACGATTTCATGACAGGATCGTGACAAATTTCAACATTAATTCTTCTGGTTCTTTCATCAAGACGAGTTTGGGCGACTTTCATTGGGTTCTCTTTGTCTTGTATAGCTTTACGTAGTAGGTTAATGTTTCTTTCCATGTCAAATATTTCTTGCATTGTCTGAAATAATAAAATAACGATTGCAACTAGTGGTACTAGTTTGGTCCAAAATCTCAATAGACCCCCTTCCCCATCTCCCATTGACCCTTAATGTTTAACGTTAATTCTCTTCTCTCTGCGGGGATCACGGTGGATTAGTGGGTAAGACGCTGGCTCGCTAGCCTGGAGGTCGGGTGTTCGATCCCTGCATTGGCCGAGAAAGTTCATCCAGATTTTCCGGCGTGGTTTCCCCTTGTCAGTGATGCAGGACGGAGGGCCTGACAAGGACAGCTGTCTAGTCGTTCGGATGGGGCAAAAAACCTAAAAGATCCCTTGGCAGTTGGAATTCGATATAAGAGTAGGCCATAGCGCCGCTGCCCGGGTAAAATTTCCCTCATAGCACACTGAATGGTGTATGCCCGCCTTCATTAGCCCACTTCATTTTGATGATGGCCCATCAAAATGGAACCCCACTAGCAATTTACTATACTTACTCTTTGCAGATGCGCCTGTAGTTTATTTCTGGCATCTGTAGTCTCGCGCACTCTCGTGTTAAAAGCATTATTTACACCATTAAATATATTCCACATCTCGCTTGCGCATGCTCGTAAACAGCCGTCTATTTCACCTCTAAGTCTTTCAGACGCCGCTCTCTCTTTCTGAGACCTCATGATGTTCTCTTCAGAGTATCTGGCCCACGAATAGGGAATTGTGATCCTGTTAACAAAGATACATGCTTTTAAACTGTTTTAAAATAAAGAGAAAAGAAGTACTTATTTTAATAAGACTATTTCATCACAGGGCGTGCAGGGGTTTGACAGTGTCCGACAACAAATCCTTGATTGGATGCCCCAAGACTCAAGTACAAGGCCTATTACTCCAAAATATGTGATAGGAAACCATTTTAAATATGTCAAAACAGATGAAGCATTCACGCCCCCCCCCCCGCTTTCTACTGAATGCTTTCGTATAATCAACAATATTCATCATCAATAAATGAACTTTGGTATTATCAACAATATACGTCATCAATAAACGAACTTTGGTATTATCAACAATATACGTCATCAATAAACGAACGTTGGTATTATCAATAATATACGTCATCAATAAACGAACTATGGTATTATCAACAATATACGTCATCAATAAATGAACTTTGTTATTATCAACAATATACGTCATCAATAAATGAGCTTACGTATTATCAACATTCTCTATACCAGGATAATAACCAATACCAGCTGACGAATTCCTTAACTGCTGCATTCTATCATCTAGACCCTGGGCGTGGTGTTTATCTTTGGAATCTATTTCTAGATTATGTTGGGCCGCGCGATTCATCCTGAAAATAAATGTTGATGAATTAATATCATTTAATATAATAATCCACAATATTTTCTTACTTTATTCAAGACGTAAAATGTGGTTCTATTCATTAGTCGTGTTCGAGATCCAGTTTTGAATGCAAGTCGTCTCCAAATTATAAACTTTTACTGCTATCAATTTAAACTTTGTGACGTATTCTGTTTAGCTTGGAATAAGCAAGGTATATTTTTAAAAATAATGTGACAAGTTTTAAATATGACTGAAACGACAGTCCTTGTCCAAACAAGAGCCCTGCTGGCATTCAATCTGATTAAAATACAGATTTATAATTCGTTTCGGTTTTTTATATACTTTCGATGGGGTCTATTACATCAAGATCTGGCCAGTTGTAGTGTAAGGTCGCGTCAGAGTTCATACGGGCGGCTTTTGATTCTATGACGTCAGACATTGGATTCCCCCCAAAATTTGCCGTAACAGACCGTTTTATTGGCTAACCTAAGTAACCTTCGCATAACCAAAATGCAGGTATAACAACTCTTCCAGATCCTAGTGTAGTATAGAAAAGTGAAACTAAATTTTGAACTATTAAAAAACCGAAACGAAATAGGATCTGTGTTTTAATCAGATTGGCTGGCATCCCAAGTTCCAGTGTGCAGAAATAAAATTCCAGACACTAATTAAATCAACTTACTTCAGTTGTACATAAGCCTTTTCCAACATTTTCTTCATACGACCTTGGCATCGTTTAATAATGGTTACTTCCTGAAAAATATTATGTATAAGTCGACCAATCGGCACACCCAAGACCCGAACTCTAGCCACGCCCACAGCTTACATCGCAGCTCACGACAAAAGCCCACAGCTGTCGCCGACAAAGTTCAACATTTTCAACTTCCATGACTTTTGTTTTACGTCACTAGGTTAGTTTCCACAGAACGAAGATCGGGAAGGACTTAAAACCCACTCGTTAGTTATTTTGAAAAATGCATAGCAGTTTTTATGAGTGCCGACATGCTGTCTCCTAAACATCTTTCAACGATTGTGTGCTCATTGGTTCCGATTAGTGAGCCGTTACGGCAGTGGTTCTCAACCTTTTTTTGTTAACGGCACACCTTCTAACACATGAAAAAATAGCGGCACACCTGGCTAAATATATATGAAAAATATTTGAATCTTGCAAAAAAAAAAAAAAAAAAAAAAAAATGGCAAGGTGGGTGAGGCGCTGGCTGTTCGATCCCTGCATTGGCCGAGAAAGTTCATCTTGATTTTCCGACGTGGTTTCCCCTTGTCAGTGATGCAGGATAGAGGGCCTGACAAGGACAGCTGTCTAGTCCTTCGGATGAGACGAAAAACCGAGGTCCCGTGTATATATTGGAATGCACGTAAAAGATCCCTTGGCAGTTGGAATTCGATATAAGAGTAGGCGATAGTGCCGCTGCCCGGGCAAAATTTCCCTCATAGTACACTGTATGGCGTATGCCCGTCTTCATTAGCCCAGTATAGGAGCAGAACAGTAGGACGTTAAACCCCATTTTATTTCAGTCATAGACACATAGAATGACTCAAACTAAATAAAGAAATACACAGTTCAAAATTTCGCGGCACACTCAGGAAGATATGGTTGAGAATCACTATGTTATGCTCTCGGGAATTTCACTTCTAATGTAACACTTGCAGTGTGTATCTACCGTGATACTTGCACAATTATTACGGCTAAGGTCGCATAGTATAGGCGTACTATATCAACCAGGAACCGATCATGACGCCACCTCAACCATCCCGAATTTGTAACGTCATAACTATGCGCAATTGTCCAATGACTAAGCAGGCCAAGTTTTCGAATTGGCGGGCAATTTTTTTAAGAGCATCGCCCCAAGAGAATAAAATCATCAACAACAATATTACCAGGCTTATTATCCTGGTTCAAAAAGTATAATGTACCAAGATAATCAGGGTACCAGTTCAAACCTCCACAACAGTATTCCGACAAGACATGACTGTAGTGTCGTAGGGGATCCGGACATGGGTTAACACGCAAAATTATTTTATCAAAATTAAAATACTGATTTTTTTAACTGAAAATTAGCCGGAAATGGGCCTAATTAAAACGGCGAAATTTGCCGACTGCCGGCTTCTAAGGACACCCTTGGTTAACAGGGCCCTGTTGTTACGGCCTGTAACACTTGACGTTAAAACTAGAGATTACCTTTATTTAACGATGAGAGTCGTCCTCTTACCTTACTGGGAGCCACGTTGGCTAAGTGAGCAAGACGCTGGCTCGCTAGTCTGGAGGTCGCGTGTTCGATCCCGGCATTGGCCGAGAAAGTTTATCGGGATTTTCCGTCTTGGTTTTCCCTAGTCAGTGGTTCAGGACAATGACAGCTGTCTAGTTGTTCGGATGGGACGAAAACCGAGATACCGAGTACACATTGGCGTGTAGGTAAAAGATCCCTTTGCAGTTCGATCCCGGCATTGGCCGTGAAAGTTTATCGGGTTTTTCCGTCCTGGTTTTCCCTAGTCAGTTATACAGGACAGATTGCCTGAAAAAGACAGCTGTCTAGTTGTTCGTGTATACATTGGCGTGCACATAAAACATCCCTTGGCAGTTGGAATTCGCCCGGGAAAAATTTCCCTCAAAGCACAATAGGATGTTAAACCCCATTTCATTTCATTTCTTACCTTACTAAGTGATTTTTCCACATCATCGTTAACCAGGTCGATACCATTTCTCTTCTCTCTGTGTAATAAACATTCTTCTGCTATATGTAGAGGACTTGTTGTATCATTGTAAGCCTTCTCTAACATTCGACGATACTCCTACCATAATACACACAACAGTTCATGTTAGCAACCTATTAACTTGCGGGTAGTTATTATTTGTTTTATTTATTATTTTTTTTACCGACGTGGTTTCCCCTTGTCAGTGCCGCTGCCTGGGCAAAATTTCCGTCACAGCACACTGTATGGCGTAAGCCCGTTCTCATTAGCCCAGTCGGAGCAGAACAGTAGGACGCCAAACACTATTTCATTTAACGCTTAAGGGGAACTTACTCCAAATATTAACCGCGCTTGGTTGACACGGAAATCTAAGTTAGTTACCAAATATTTAGCGTACTTGTTTGATTTCGGTGGATCCCATGACAATATGTGGTTAAAAGTATCAAACTTTGTTACAATTCTTTAATCAATTAGTTTAAGAATGATAATATATATCAAATTTAATATCTATAGGCCAAATCGCCGAAAACGTTGCTAATAATGTGACAGAATCTAACTATATGCCTACATTACAGTATATTGCATAAATACATACACAGACCTGTTTTTAATTATACCATATCAATATATCTTATATTTTCAAAGTTAGATATGTTTTAGTATGCAAATCCAAAGGAAAATATTTCGGAAACTTTGTACATTAGATAGAGTTATTTCCCTTTAAGAAGCACTACAAAATTCTGTTACATACGTCTGTTGGGAAATTAGATGAAATTTGTTAAAACAGAGATAGAAAATGAAAGAAAATATTTCGTCATATATAGCACACGCTTAATAAATGGGTTAAGGGTTAAACGAAAATAATTATTTCAATAGGGTGTTACGTCCCTTTTATTAATGGAACGGTGGTTTGTGAATGGTTAGTGCTATTTAATGATAAGGCCAGCTCAATTTTTTCGTCATCGGTCATGAGATGTAAACAGGGCTAGCGCTAATCACCCTGAACCTAGTCCCAAATGTTTACCTTAACCCTAACATGCAATCTCGCCAAAAATCACGTGCCCTAACCTTATTTACATCTTAACGACCTTGACAAAAATTGAGTTGGCCTTAACAAATAGATTTAGTCGGTTGGAGGAATGGAGATTAGAAGTGACTGTGACAATGAGTCAAATAGATACAGTTGAAAGACACAAGCACGTTTATTGTTAATATCCTATTAAGACTTCTGGATCTAATTTCCAAAACGTATACCGTACATAATAATCTCTGACCCTCTGTGCAACCGCAAACACGTCCATCAAGAATAAGTGCCAGCAGATCAAACGGACTGTAAAAACGCAAAAGAAATGCGTTCAACATTTACAATCCTAAAATTTCGAAATTCAAGACGTTTTGAAACATTCCACTGAGACCTTTGCATATTTGTCCGGTGCCATTTTATCGCGTTTACATAAATTTATAAGTAAATTGGGAAATGTGCAGCCAAAGTAATCACAGCGAAGCTGCAAATAATATCTTGTACAATGGTCACAAGAAATATTGAATCGACGACGGACCGACGGAAGACGATGACGACAATATAAGTAGGTCTACACAATAACTGTTAGCGTATAACAGTGCCAGCGTGCCATTTGCATATTTAGTACCAAGAGGGAGTGAAAAATGTTTAATATATATGGGTTTTTTTTAACTTATTTGTGTGCAATGTCTTCCTTGGGTGTGGCATGGTTTGAGAGTATTTTAAAATGACTACCTTTACATTTGAGGTTTCTGTACACATGGCGCGAAGTTCATTGTTCACTTCCGTTTTCATGGAATTAAGATCCTCAACTCTTTGTTCTATGTGATGAGAATAAAATAGCGTGAACACGTACATGAGCATAACACACACACACAAAACAGATTAAACAACTAAAACAGGCTAAAGAGAAAAGCCTTAAAGGACAATATTGGTGTCAGCCATTATTACATAATATGTGATAGAATTGGTTAAACACGTTCCAGATATAATTTAAACACAGAGATCATTGCTACGATAGATGCGGAATCAAGGTTTCAACAAAAGGAAGTGATGAACACAAAAGGAAAACACGAGTTATCCTTCTATATAACTGACCGAAATGACGAGTGATAACAGATACACGGGCGAATTTCTGCTAACTAATAATTCCTTCGAAGTCCAAAAGTTGTTATATGAAACTGTGATCTGACAATTTATAAAAGAATTGACTGTCACTAAATAAGAGAAAGAGAAAAAATAGAAAAAGTCCGTGCATTACCATGTTTTTATTAAGTATAAAATGAATAAAAACAATGGAATGTACGGGTTGACACCAATATTGTCCTTTAACTGGTATTAGGTTTGGGGTAAGGATGAATCGAGGACTTTGGTTTCAGTCACATTTGCCCGCCTTGGTCGACTGACCCGTAAAATAACTTACACGTCGGTCAATATATGACACTACAAATAAGAATTTAACTTTACAATAGTTCCATTTATAGTTATTAACAATTGCAATATATTTTAGAAAAAATTCAAGATAAGCGAAGTACATCAAACATTAGCCGACTGACAAAATATTGACGTGAAAGAAAGTCCTGGTTGAGTCTATTAGAAAGAGAAAAAATAAATGATGACGTCATTAATGTGGAATGACGCAATTATCTCATTTCAAGAATTTCAAGAGCCATCTCATTGGCCGACGCATACAAAAAAATACAACAGAATTGTATTAGGATTCGAAATGTTTTTACTTTTTTGGGGCTTTTAATACCCCCCCCCCCCCCTCCAAACCACGCTTCATGTATAACGTCTATCACGGATAAAAATACATAATTCATTCCACTTTAAAGACGTTTCTAAAGCAAAGACACACATGGCGTTGATTATTCAGCTATCTACAAGCAAAATGAAAATAAATATAAAACAAACAAAAGCTGTGAGTAAAAAATATTAAAACAAAGCAAGACGTAAAGATTATACGATATGGAGACAAGTTAATACGAGAGTGAGGTTAGCCATATTGAAAGCGAGGGTGTTACAGCCGGGCACCTTAAGATTTTCGGTCTCGTGCTGCATGGCGTTTATTTCGTTATTTATTTCACTCTTCCAGTGTGCTATATCACAAACTCGTTCACCTGTGGAAAAATAAAATATCAAAATTTGTTAACTAAACAATCTGATTAACACATAGATGGTTGGGGGTTGGGTGGGAGGTGCGAAGCTTCCCAACACTGCCCCCCCCCCTTCCCCCAATCCTAACTAAGTATCCTGTATCTGCTACTGTACAATCTAATTAAAAGACAGATTCTATTTCGGTTTTTTATACTTCAAAATTTCTGGATGAAGTGAGGGTTTAGCCAATGAAACGGTCTGTTACGGCGAGTTTTTGGCGTGAGGTGCACGGAACTGTGGGTAACCCACTAGAAACATCAACGCTGATTGGTTAATCAAATGTCTGACGTCATAGGATCAAAAGCCGCGTATGACCCCTGACGCGACCTTCCACTACAACCGGTCGGATCTTCATGCAGTGTATGCCATCGAAAGTATAAAAAAAAAAACGAAACGAAATATAGATCTGTATTTTAATCAGATTGTTAACTAAATATGTAAATCTGAAGATGGTGAATTTGGCGAAACGTACAGAAGCAAGAAATTCAAACCCTACTGTGTGAGTCAGGATTGCGATTATATAATTTATTTAAACAGGTAGGCTCGCTTTAAAAAAAAAACAGTACTCAGTTCGTTCAATTGGGCAAAATGGCCGCGATATAAGTAATCAGTTATCGTACAAGCGCCTGTAAATCTAACTTGTAGAACATGTGGGGATTAAATGTTTATTTTGCAAGTTTATCATCAAATAGAGGGCCAGAAGTAATGCTGTAAATATACAGAAACGTTTTTTTATTTACCCAGTCTTCTTGTGACTTCATTTTGACGATTTCTGGTCCTGGCATCCGTCTCCTTCACGGCTCTCCAGGCATCTGCTCTCAGACGTTCCGCGTGAGATCGTTCACGATCCGACAAACCAAAATTCATATTATTGGAGACTCCCCAGTCATTAGTAGAATATCGACTATACACCGTTTTACTGAAATAAATCAAAATACTTGATGCTTATATTATAACTAGATACATCTTCACCCTAAATTGTCCTATTTAAAATTCATATTTTCGTATCTCTGTCTCACCTAATTATTGAGAATAGGACATATGTTCAGCACTACAGAGGTTAAAGCCACAGAGGTTTCGATCACAGAGAAGTTAATCCAGATTTTCCGGCGTGGTTCCCCCTTGTCAGTGATGCAGGACGGAGGGCCTGACAAGGACAGCTGTCTAGTCGTTCGGATGGGACGAAAAACCGAGGTCCAGTGTACACATTGGCGTGCACGTAAAAGATCCCTTGACAGTTGGAATTCGATATAAGAGTAGGCCGTAGTGCCGCTGTCCGGGCAAAACCTCCCTCTTAGCACACTGTACGTCATATGCCCGTCTCCATTAGCCCAGTTCGGAGCAGAACAGTAGGATGTTAAACCCTATTACATTTCATTTATTTCCCAATAAATAAGAGTAGAATGAATGAATGAATGAATGAATGATAGATCAGGTTAGCTTATAGTGTAAGCAAGTCGTAGAAATGAACAGATTCTAAAGTCGATCCTAAAATATCAGTGGGCAAAGTGTGCTAAATTGGACCCCTCCCCAAAAACCCACCTTATTCCAACTGACCTACCTGGCTGACCTAAAGTCGACTCTAAATATCAGTTGGCAAAGTGGTAAATTGTAAAAAAAAAACAAAAAAAAAAATACCAAACTTATTCGATCTGACCTACCTGGCTGGGTTAAAATAGTTTTTGGCATGTCCCACATCTATAGAGCGGCCATTACTGCTAAAATGTCTGGACACTGTTCTATTGGAGACATAAGGAAGAATTTTGGACATTTCCGGTGTTAGAGGTGTAACACTTCTGGTTCTGGTTACAACAGGTGAGTCGTAATACGCCATCCTGAAAAACACACGTCATAGAAATAATAATATTATTCTCGGACACAATCTGATTAAAACACAGATCCTATTTCGTTTCGTTTTATAGTTCAAAATTTCGCTTTACTTGTCTTTACTACACTAGGATCTGGAAGAGTTGTTATCATTGACGTGTTCTGGATGGTGTGAGGGATTAGCCAATGAAACGGTCTGTTACGGCGAGCTTTATGCGTGTTTGGCACGGAACTGTGGGTAATCAATGCTGATTGGTTAATCAAATGTCTGACGTTATAGGGTCAAAAGACGCTGGTATGACCTCTGACGCGATCTATAGCTACAACCGGACAGATCTTCATGCAGTGTAGGTCATCGAAAGTATAAAAAACGAAACGAAATATAGATCTGTATTTTAATCAGATTGTCACAGACATGCCCCAACAATCTCATGAATGTGCTATGAAAGAAATCTTGCCCTCATCTTTAAAATTTTCTGGTTTTTTGTCCCATCCGAACGACAAGACACTTTTCCGTGCAAGACTGTGTGCTCCCACTACTGACAGAGACAGGACAATCACAAGTAAAGAGAGAGAGAGAGAAATGGGGTTTAACGTCCACTCGACACAAACTAGGTCATTTCGGGACTAACATATGGTTTAATTTTATTTCAATAATTCGTCTTTAGCAGTGGGAGGAAACCGGAGGACCCGGAGAAAACCCACGAGGTTGGACAGACGACCCTACTCCTTGCCACGTACAACCGGGGATTCGAAACCACACCAGTTAACTCAATGACAGGCTTTATGATACAGCGCGCGGACGCTAACCATTCAGCCATCCCACCCCCCCACAAGTAAAGAATCCAGAACCACCTGGTTAGTGAGTCAATAACAGGGGCTAAGTGACAGGGACGCAATGACGAAATTTGCGTCATGGTTTTAAGTTTTTGTGCCCCCTTGAGTTTTTGTGTCTCCTCGCAAATGGCAAAAAATCGCGCAGTTACAATGTGGTTTTCAACATTATAATCATAATCATAATACTCAACCAGTGTCAAACATATACCGTGGGTCAGATATGCTACAAATCGACTCTAGAATATTCCACACGGCTCAATATTACCGCCCCCATTACTGTATAAAACCGAGCTGGTAACCGAGTACGAAACTATTTGTGATATTGTTTGTTAAGTTTAAATCATCTAGTCAACAGCCATTCTCGTATCTATGATTTTGATATCAATAACACACTGACAGGTACTTGGGTCTGTACAAAACATTGTCATAATATTGATAGAACACACACGGTCACATACAATCACAACATGGTCTTAATGTTAATATTATATAGACGGGTGGATTATTTTATTCCTTTACTGGGTAACACAATCACAAAACAACACAATCATAAAAACACAGATAATCACAAACCGACACAGAGTAACACAGAACAACACAAACAAGCACAGATTAACACAGAGTAGCACAGAACACAAACAATCACAGAACAACGCCGAGCAGCACAGAACAACACAAACAATCACAGAACAACACACACATTTACAAACTAACACAGAGTAGCACGGAACAACACAAACATTCACAGAACAACACAGAGCAGCACAATACAAGACATGACAACAAGAGCAACACAAACAATCACAATCCAACACAAATACGAATACACAGATTATCACGAACAATGGTTCGTTGAGATTTTCCAGGGTGGTGTCCCATTGGCACTGGTGCAGTCGTTCAGATGAGATATAAAAAAACCAAGGCCACCTCATTAACATGACGTTAAATATCCATTGACAATTTGAAACTGCCCGGCCAAAACTACCCCAATATCACACAGTGTGGCGTATGTCTGTCTTCATTGGTACATGACGGGGTTTCCCCTTGTCAGTGGTGCAGAACCGAGGGCCTGACAAGGACAGCTGTCTAGTCATTCGGATGAGACGAAAAACCGAGGTCCCGTGTATACATTGGAATGCACGTAAAAGATCCCTTGACAGTTGGAATTCGATATAAGAGTAGGCAATAGTGCCGCTGCCCGGGCAAAATTTCCCTCATAGCACACTGTATGGCGTATGCCCGTCTTCATTAGCCCAGTATAGGAGCAGAACAGTAGGACGTTAAACCCCATTTCATTGGTACATAAACAAAGTGATAAGATTAAACCCCATTTGAGGTTGAATCACTCGGCAAACCTCAGCAGTGCCCTACTTCTAGCCTAGGCTGTATGACGAAGTCCGCCAATGGAACCACTTTCAAGTTCCCGGATTACCAACGGCGTTGCCCATGACAACGCCTTTGAAGAATATTTTATCATACAAATATTTCAAAGTCTGACGCTGTTTTTTTTTTCAAGTTTATTCGATTTTTTTCAAACAAGGACATCTTTGCACTAAAATGTCTACACACGCTTCGAACGATGCAATTTCGGTAACTTCTTTTTAAAAGCGGCAAGTTTTCCTAATATGTAAACCGGTGCCGCATCGCAATTGTATAGGCGTAGGTACATATCACTTACCGTCATACAGCCGAGGCTAGATGTAGAGTAACGGAATCTGCCGAGGTTTGCCGAGTGGAAGTTGAATACCCCACTGAGCTACTGGTATGTTCGGGTGGCTAATATTTAAACGAGTTTATAATAGGAGGATTATTAGCAATGCGTGTCTTGCAGTTTTTACTAACAGCCCAATAATTAATAACCGTGTGTCATAATCACATATTACTGTTTATTTTAATCTTGATAACAGTTATTGCTATTGACAATACAGTGATTTTATGTTCGAACACCGAGCAATGATCTCATATTAACTACACGGTCACAGTAACCCACGTTACACGGTCGACATTATGGGTCATACTGCTCTTTTAAAGACATCTCGTATCAAGATATTCTACTAGACAGTGAATTATTAACTTCCCAACTAAACCAAAGAACAACACAAACAAGGGTTCTTATATGTGCACGATGGGACCTCGATATATGGTGAATGATAGCACAGTAACTCAATTGTATGCTAGCATAGCATAGTAACATAAGTGTATGTAAGGATAGTATACATATAGTGTATGTAAGGATAGTAAGGGTAGGGTAGGGTAGGGCAGGGCAGGGCAGGGTGTAAACAAACTATCTGTGTATACAGAGAGAGAGAGAGAGAGAGAGAGAGAGAGAGAGAGAGAGAGAGAGAGAGAAATGGGGTTTAACGTCCACCCGACACAAACTAGGTCATTTCGGAACTAACATATGGTTTAATTTTATTTCAATAATTCGCTTGCGCATAGGGGTCTTTAGCAGTGGGAGGAAACCGGAGGACCCGGAGAAAAACCACGAGGTTGGACAGGCGAACCTACTCCTTGTCACGTACAACCGGGGATTCCTCTGTGTATACAAGTTAGAATTATTGTTTGTTTAATTAAATTAGACACCTAACAGTTTATTCTGTAAGTAATAATTTATTGGCTTATATAATGACATTGATTCTACATGCAAATAATTAAATATTTATATTGATCAAACACCAGTAGATACTTCTGCATATATCAACTTACTTCACGATATAACAAGCTACCCAATACGACAGTATAGACACTAAGGCCAGGTTCCCACTGTTGATAGGATGCGTTACGTCATAGGATTGTCCCTATTGGGTCCATGATCTGCTACGTGCAGATACGTTCGGTTACGTTTCACTACGGTCAACACGATTGTTCGGACTGACCTCAATATATGATAAGACCTGACAGGATCACCACGATTACTCCACGATTAAAACCACGATTTCAATCGTAGCACGAATCGTGTTAGTGTGAACCTAGCATAACACAGCTGAGCCAATCCTGGGGTATCAGACCACCAATTACGTCCTCTCTCTCTCTCCAGGACAAACAAATGAACGTTCAAGTCAGTGGGGGACTTAAGGTTTTTGTCAAACAACGAGTGTAAAGTCGGGACCGCGAGGGAAAAGTGGACTTGCCGGCTGTGAGGGGGAAGGGAGCGGACGGGGGAGGGGCTTTTTACCCGGGTGGAGCTTTGAAGATGCTGTATCGTTTTAGTAGTGTGGTTAATACGTTCAAATTATGCCTCCACAAGATAGTAAACACCATCGCTTCCTGTTCGAGACCGACATGCGCAATCAGTATAAATTTCTGCTGTTCGAACCCACAACAATATATAAGGAACATATCGGTAATATCTACCAGAACTCGTCGGTAAAACTCAATACTACGGAAAAGGTACAGTCTTTATACTCGTATAATAAGGCGAGAAAACCCAACACTACGGAAAAGGTACAGTCTTTATACTCGGACAATAAGGCGAGAAAACCCAACACGGCGCTAAAAGGTAGTCTTTACCATCGTTTATAAACCTATAACGGTAAATCTCTTTGATCTTTGGGGTATATTCTATGCCCGGAATAACGTGCGGTCTGAAAGTCGGGGTGGCTTTGATTAATTACAGGGGAATTTGGGGTTATTCTTCTAAAAGTTTTTCTTTAAACCTGTAACGGGTTATTCTTCCAGGGTAGGTTGTTTTTTTCCATAAGAAAACATGATATAAGGTTTTTCTTACTGAAATTCTGGGATATTCTCATTTTGCGTACATGTAAACATAGACGATTTATAAGCTAGATAAAGTCTTCAACTTCGGTTATGCTGGGGAAGAAAGGCTTCAGGAAAAAAACCGGATTATTTTTTTTAGTCTTTCTTTCCCCAGCTAGACGGTTTATAAGCTAGATAAAGTCCGTGATTTCGGTTATGCTGGGGAAGAAGGACTTCAGAAAAAAAAACACGAAAGAAAAACCTCGGACTGCCGGCCTCGGTTTTTCTTTTTCTCGGGTTATTTTCTTCAGTCTTTCCTTCCCCAGCATAACCTCAGTCTCGTGCTTTATCCTACACATAATAAGGCGGTAGAACCCGACACTGCGCAAGAGGTACCGCCCTTACCCTCGTACTGTAAGGCGAGAAAACCTAACAGCACAAAATATAACGAAACGAGAGAGAGAGAGAGACGAGG